AGTTACATCTTAACGCAAAGTGCAGCCACAAATTTTGCATTTAATGAACTTGATTGTTTTTAATAAAATACGCCGAACAATTATGAATAAACAAGCCGAATTTTGCCTTAAATGGCCTAAACGTTTGTATAGAATGTGCTTTGCGTTAATTGTGTTTGGCATAATTGTAGGGTATACCATAATTATTTTACTACCCGTAATAATGATTATAACCAGTTATGAAACAAATTATTTTATATTAGAACCGATCGTTTTGGTATGTTTAGCTTAATTATGATTATGATCGAAAGTCTCATTTTGGTGTACGTGCGTAAAAAATTAATCTTACCGTTGACAGAAAGGGCGCCGCAAACCACGCCACTATATATGACTACAACTTACGGAGTGACACTTAATATTAATAATGAAACTATGTAATTTTAATTAGACGCCTACATTTTTTATACACTACCTTTACATATATAAATAATAACGTTATATATGCGACCGAAATAATTTATGACAATAAACTCAATGATAAAAAATGTAGTTCATAGAATTGCGTTGTTGTTCATTGTTTTTATAAACGCACAAAAGATGAAAATTGCAAAGCAGTGTAGTCATATTAAAACAATTTATTATTTAAACAATATAAAATATTTCATATTCTGGGAATATTGAATATAAAAATTCTGTTTAAATTTAACGGTAATTATAATATAAAACATTACTGGGTTTTAATATGCTTTGTGTGTTTTCAAAACATACAATATTTATAACACGTTTATTAATAATACAATGATATATTTAATTGTATTGCAAATAAAACAAATTAACAATAATAATTTATCATCACAGTTTGTAAAACCAATGAATTCAAACTAACTAAATAATAATCTAATTTTGTAATAAATGTTAAGTTTAATAATATTGCTATAATAATAATAATCTAAAAAGGAATATATCCCTATAACAAATAGCCTAGCCTATTTTGATTGATATGGACATGTTCAGTTCGGTTCATACATTAATTTTCCTTAACTAAATAATAATCTAATTTTGTAATAAATGTTAAGTTTAATAATATTGCTATAATAATAATAATCTAAAAAGGAATATATCCCTATAACAAATGGCCTAGCCTATTTTGATTGGTATGGACATATTCAGTTCGGTTCATAGATTAATTTACCGTTGAGATAATCTGCCAATGGCCACAAATGAACGAATTATGGACAAAATTCCAAATAAATACATAGCATTCAATTGAATTCAAGCAATGTTAAAAACTTTAAAAAGTTGTGATGAATGGTAATTCACACATAGCACAGGGCCATTCAACACAAGTCTGTGCATTAGATGCTATGTATTTATTTCGAATTTTGTCCATAATTCGGTCATTTTTGGCCATTGGCAGATTATCTCAACGGAAAATTAATGTATGAACCGAACTGAACATGTCCATATCAATCAAAATAGGCTAGGCTATTTGCTATAAGGATATATTCCTATAAAGTATTAAAATCTATAAATAATAGTACATTTTAAAATAGAAATAAAGTTTGTAATAAAATTTTAAAAATAAAACTATTAACTGTTTACTAGTAAACCTAAGTAAATCAAATGTGGCTAAATAATTAAACAATACATAACATCCAGTATATTTTATAAAATATATACAGTTACCGCTTTTGATCATTTGCGTAAATTTAATTCCAAGTAATTTTATCTCAATTTGTACCTACGATAATGTAGAGATTGTAAAACATATTTGAAAAATCATTTTGATAAATTAACCCTTTTGTCAATAATATCATTAAATACAACAATTTCATAACAATATGACTGAATAACTCGGCGCCAATAATATGACATTTTATTGTTTGATACTATTTATTATTAACCGATTCCGGTGTTAAAAAGTAATTGTACTTTCACTTCAAACTAGGGAATCATGAGCAATGTAGATTTTGAGTAGATAGTAAACAATTTTCATTAAATGTTACTTTCATTTGCTTCATTAACTAGAACTTAATATACAACAATAGCTATTATATTACCTTATAAAATTATAAATTTACTTACATTATATTAAATTATTATTAATTTACTATTTACTAATAGTCCAACAATTTAACAAAACACTATATTCATATCTGAATTGCAGTTAACAATATTAAAAGTATGCTTTAATTTATTTTATAAATCAATTAATCAGTAATTAATAAGAAAATTATACTGTATATATAATATAACGCATATATCAATGTATATAAAAATATATCTTAAATTTATATTTAATTAAAATATAGACCACATCCTGATGTCTGAATCACATGACTCACTAAGAACATCATTTCTTGAAGAGCAAGATCGATTCCACAAGCAATGGGTGGCCAAAGTAAAAATGATTTGCATATTGTTTACTTCATTGGCCACAATGATCATGTTTATCACACTAGTTGTGAAATGCTTAACTTACGCGTATGTGGAAGCATGGGAACCGTTTAGCGCAACATTTAGAAGTGCCATAGTGTTCGATCTTGCCATGGTGTTAGTTATTATAGGTGTTATAAAATTAATTTTGGTTAATCGGCATAATAGCAAATGTGTAGAACTTCACATGAAAGCTGAGTCACATTCAACGAACATGATTGTTTTTAATAAAATGCGACGTATAATTATGAATGAACAAGCCAAATTTTGTCGCATTTGGGTTAAAGGATTGTATAGCATGTGCGTTATATTAATATTGTATGGCATACTTATCGGGGTTAACTTATTAACTGAAAATCACGGGATTAAAAAAGATTTTATAGTAGAACCGATCCTTTTTAGTATTTTTTGCTTAACTTTGACCATGGCCGGAAGTCTGCTTTTGGTATACGTGCGAAAAAAAAATTAATCTTGCCGTTGAGGAAAAGGGCGCAACAAACCACGCCCTTATATATTACTACTACATGCGGAGCAACACTTAATACAACTAATGAAGCTATGAACGAGCCTACAAACTACATTTTTCATATATGAATTGTGATTTAAAATTTTTTAATTAGATATTGACATCCTTATTATTACAAAATATAATTAGTCTATAAACTAAGTTAACAGCAATTGTTAAACAGAAACTACTACATGTACTTTTAATAAAATATATTGTATAATAATATACATTGACATGAATCATATATTATACTAATTATACAAGAATGTCAATTATATTTTATAATTATAGTAATGCGGTATTTTATTGCAAACAGATTTTATAATCATGAATAACTTATTGTTAAACACATTATGTATTTGACTTTACTTGCAATCACTTGTATTATTAAATTGTGATCAAGATCATAACACATTTTCATGGGATATATATTGAGACTCAATAAATAAGTTTTAATATTTACGATTGTCTCAATAATATTATTAAAAAAGGATCTTAAATTATAACACGTGCATTTTATTATTCGTGTTGATTCTACAAACAAGGATGCATCTTCTAGGCTAATGTTTATACTATGGACAATGTTGAGTCTATGGGAATGCTAATTCTGTTTAAATAATCATGAGTTTATAATATTATAAAGTAAATAACACAAAAAAAGTAAAGTTTAATGATAATAGTTAAGCTGGTCATAACTTTTTATAACTAATATATTCCGGTCGCATAGTTAACATTGTCGTAGCCATTATTTCTAGTGAACAATGGAAATTTATATTAAATTATAGTGAACAATGAAAAGCAACATAAAAGTGATTCATTAAGAAAATGTAAACTACTACAATATTGAAGTGATATTAATTGTTGTTTAGCTTTGCGGTGCATATTATGCTTTAATATAATGACAGAAATAAAAACCGTTTCATCTTAACAAATGCTAAGTAGTTTTATCATTGAGTCATAATATTCACAATAAGCATTTAATATTGTGACTACATGATAAAACTACTTAGCACTAGTTAAAATGAAACGGTTTATAAGATAAAATTTATTATTACTTTCATTTCAACTGTACATTTAGTATATAATAGTTGTACGCAAGTAACATTTATCCCAAAAACAGTAATAAATTATGATGATTAATTTTTGTCAACGTTTAAGTTACGATTCACATTTACAAACTTTTTATTATGTTTGATAATATCTTTGATGTTTGAAAAGTTTGATATTTGTGAAAAGATTAGCCAAACTTTAAAACAAGAAATAAAATTATTTTATATAATAAATGACTATGGTGCTCAATTGCAAGCGAGTAAAAAAGGTAAAAACATTTTATTTGTTACAAATGATGATCGGGTGTATGGGATGGGCAGTAATAGATACGGACTGTTAGGTTTGGGACACAACTCACCCATTGATAAACTCGAAGAAGTGCCGCAATTAAGTCATCAAAATATTCAACAATTTTTTAATACAACATTCATTGGATTGGCAATTAATGCTAATAACGAAATATTTTCATGGGGCTTATATAAACCATTATTTGAAAAAACATTTTATATGCCTCTTAAATCAACTTTAGTTAATTCAAATGATATGTGTATTGAGAAAATATCATGTTTTGAATGGAAAATAATTGTTTTAACATCAGATGGACGGGTATTTCAATGGATATATAAGTCAATAGAAAGACAATAATTAAATGAAATACAATTTCCCGATGAATGCAAAATTGTGGACATTTTATGCTCTCAATGGCAATCACTCGCCATTGCGTCCAATAGACGGGTGTTTACATGGGATAAGATAAGTAACACTAGGGATAGTAATTCACCGCAATTGCTAAACAATGTCTATAACATTGTAACAGTGAGTCAATTAAATGACACGGAATTAATAATGTTAGCAAATGATCACCATGTTTATAAATACGATTTGAATACTGAGATAATTGTATTGTTTAACAATTTACTATTTACAAATTTGGGTTATGTAAGAACGTATGGCTTTGATTATATTATTGGAATTAGTGGTAACAAAGTTTATGAATATATCAGGTATTATAGTTTGAAACGTAATAATGACTGGTTTGAAACAAAATATGCAACATTTGAAGATTATTGCGCTGTTGAACATCAATTGACTTATAATACAATTGATATTACTAAATGTCCTAATAGTGATTTATCATTGTACCCAATAGAACAACTAGGTAAGAAATATGTTATATATAAAATTCTATAATTACTAATATTTACTATTAATTATTTACAATGCAAAAAAGTCAATCTTAAAATAAACAACATAGAAATGTATGAAGTATTGGAAAAGTTAGGTTCCGGTGGTTTTGGCCACGTATTCAAAGCCAATAATAGACAAAATGGTAACACATATGCAATAAAGAAAATTCCATTAAACCGTAATGATTTTAATTCAATTATTTAAATGTATAATTAATTTTTTAATTAAATATAAATTTCATTAAAGAATTGAAAAAAGACAAAAAGAAAATGTGTTGAGAGAAACGGAAAACATGATAAAATTGCGCTCAGAATATGTCATTCAATACTATTATTCATGGATTCAAAACAATTGTTTATACATTCAAATGGATTGTTTGGCCGGAAATTTAACACATATTTTAAAAGCTAAAAAACAATTATTTGGTAAAATAATGACTGAATTTGAATATTATATATCATATGATTTATTTAAACAATTGGTCGAAAGTGTGATGTATTTGCATAAAAATCATATCATTCACAGAGACCTCAAACCCGATAATATTTTGTTTGAAGACAATTATAACATTTATTCCGCCAGAAATGATAGATATATAAAGTTATGTGACTTTGGTTTGTCTAAAGAAGTGCATGTATTGAGTGATGGATACAAACAAAGTAGTGTTAAACACACCGCAGATGTCGTTCAATATATGTCACCCGAAGGACAGACCACTGAATACAACCATTTAATAGATGTCTATAGTCTGGCACTCATTGGAGCGAAAATATTTGGTTTTGATTCCGACGATATCAGAGACGGAATGTATGTTATTTTAAATATTAATTTTAAACAAAATAGTATATTCAGTATTATAATATAATTTAAATTTTTAGATTGGATTTCAATTTTATAAATAATGATAATTTAAATCTTGCAAATAAATTATCAAAAATATACCAATTATTGCTATCAATGAGTGTTAGTATGTATACAAACAATGATTGGAGACAACGACCAGAATGTATGAGAATTTTAGACAAATTACATTATTTATCGATTGAACCGATTGTCGGGAAAAATGATTTATTATTTAATAATATAATTAATAACAAGCTTGGCCTGTTTTCAAAATTTTTTATTAATATCCATAAGTTTTGTGTTATTTGTCAAACATTTGACAAAAGTAATGGTAAGTGGTAACTAATTAACATTTATTAATATATTTTGTCTATTAATCTATATTATTGCAGAAATCTCACCGACTATTGAATCGTATGGAAATCAATTGATAAATATATTTGCTTTTAAAAAATTAATTAAAGTAAAACATCTCATAAATAATAAATTTTACTATATATCCAAATATGATACTTATTGTAAGTTTTGTTATGTTTAATTAATATTATTATTATTATTATAAAAATATATAATAATTTTGTTTCATTAAAAATCTAACATTTAAAATATTTTTGTATTTATAGATGATATCAAAGAATTAAAACAATTTGTGACAAATATAAAGAAAATATTTGAAATAAAGCCTCAATATTTGCCCCAAATATATAACTCTTGGATTGAAAACAATGAGATTTACATTCAAATGGAGTTTTGTTCGCAAACTCTATGGGATGTCATAAATGCAAAACACGTGATATTTGGGACACAAACCCATCACTCGTTG